AATAATAACAATAATCATATTTTTATATAGAGAGAAGAAATTATAATAATATATATATATTATATATATTAGAAGAACAAATTATTTAAATGCAGTTTTACGGCAAAAGGGGGGGGGATGAATCTTTTCAAAACATTCTCTTTTTATGAAAAATGTTTCTATAATAATAATATTTTGTCTGTATAAAAAGCTTAGACTTGTATACCGGAGATGTACTAAGATTTTTGAAATATACGTTTTAGAAGTTTATTTATATTAGATAGACACACAGATTAATAAAGTACTATACTGTTCGAATTAATTGGGACAAATGGTAAAAAATCATAGTTTTTAATCATTACATACCTTAAGTATAGACAGAAAAATCTCTATATTAGTACGAAGTATGTTCTCCTGTAGCAGAGATGACCTCTTTAACTCGTTTTGTTATTTACTCCATAGTGCAGCGCACATGTTCTTTACTTCGCTATCGTGGAACCACACTTTTTATCATTTGTTCTCTTGTCGTGCAACTCATCTTAGCAGAACGATTTTTGAGAATATGTCCTTAATTCTCAATAGAATTTAGGCCTGGTTAATTACCAGGCCAATTAAGCACTTTTATTTTATTTTATCGCATAAAAGTCTGGATCAATATCGAATTGTGACGAGAAGCCAAATCATGTTGAAATGTTCCAGGAAATGTTTCCATGGATGGAACAATTGTACTGCGTGATATTTATATGTATATGACATAACTCATCATGTATTTAAAAGGAACTAAGCTTCCAGTGGCATTTGTAATGGAAAAAAACCCAAAACATCTATTTAGAAGAGTGTTTTGCAATGCGTTGGATATGATTTGGCAGCAGAGTTTCAATTTCACTTCGTCTAACTGCACTTGATTTGTATCCTTGCAGAAATAAATGCGTTTCATCGCTGAAAATCACTTTCTTCTAGTCGTTAACAGTCCAGGATCGGTATTTTTGGCCCATGCTAAACGTCTTTTCATTGTTTTCTGAGTTAGAAATTGCTTTTTTCTCGGTCTTGATGCCTTACAGCTAACTTCCACTATCATTTTCGGCACAGTTGAGGTACTCACTTCATAATCCAATAAACCCCTTCAAAGGTCTGTGCTTGTCTTACTTTGATTTATTTTGCTACTTCTTATTAGAATTTTATCGTTTCTTGGAGTAATTTTCCGTTTTACTTTTCTTTTTGAAGAGCATCATCAGAAATCTTCAAACACTTGATTTGCCTACACCAACTACCGTAGCTATATCTCTCACAGTCATAGAAGTGTGTTCCTTAAGGTGGGGCCAGTATATGAATTTTTAAAAAATTATCAATTTTCACTTTTTTTATATTTTTTAAAAGCTCAAATGTTTCTGCTTAAAATGATATATGATATGAGGAAATGCGATAATTAGAAGCATTTTTTTATATTTTTTTAAACGAAGTTACTCTTCGACACGCATCAAATGAGCTCTGCTAGAAGCACCTGTTCCCCTTTGTGATGTAGCCACTCTCCTTTCCCTAATTGCTGGGAAAAAGTGGCCAATATGGGTGGTCAACATTTCTGATCTCTGTTCCCACGACCATTCCTCAGAATCCGGGAGTGGACATATTCCCCGGCCTGTGCGGAATTTCCGTTTCTCACGCATCCTTGGCGACGGCGGGTCTGGAGGCGGTCACCCGACATTTAGGTCGGAAATTTTCCCACGTTTGAGGAGGCGACAGACAAGGGACAAAGGAGAGCCGAAAAGAGGAACCAGAAGTAACCTGGGCTTTAAATGGCACGGCGTGAAATTTTGTGGGGAGAACGAGAGAGAACCGTTTAGAGGCCTCTCAAGCGATTTAGCGAGAAACTCACGTCGTCTGCATCTACGATTATAGTCGATAGCGAAGGACTTTGGCTGCTATTACCGATACAGAGAGAAGACTGACAGGAGGCCTCTCTAGCTATAGACAGCGAGAGACGCACTGCATTCGCACCCACGATTATAGTTGACCAGCGAAGCCGAAGTATTTTGGCCCTTTTTAACGATAAAAAGAAGCGTCAATCTAACGTGATTCTCATTAAAAGTTGGATGTCTAGAGGAACTGATATTTATTGTAAAAGAGACTGTGATCCCAATCTCAGAACGAGTGTAAAAATACTAAAGTTAGTCTTTACTTGTAATAAATTGTGTTTTTATAAGCTGATTGAAGTCATTACACCTTGCATTAGTTTCTGATGAGCGCGAGTCCGTATGATATTCATGTGGAAATAATAGAGTGTATTGGGCTTATAGAAAAATGTATCGGTACACGTCTTTTGGATCTTCAATGCGAAATAAAGTTAAGTGATGGAAAAAGCCTAAGAGGGTCGTAGCCGACTTTCCGACATTTTGATATAAAAAATTCAAAGATATTATGGTATAGCTCTTAGAAGTATTACGAATGCTCTACACAGCACGAAAACTGCTGTTTGTGGTATGTTTATTTTCACCTTCTGTCTTTAAACGAGAGTCCTCAACATGGACTGTGTCCTGCGATTATAAATGCCTGATGCAAATTTCAAAAGACAGAAGCTTAATGTAACGAACGGCACTATGATCATAAACGCAAGCACCATAATGTATTAAATTAAGCCACTTTTTCTTAGAGATCTAGGTGATCCTATGTTATTAAGAAAATGTTTACATGGAAAAACTCAGAACCCAAATGAATCAGTTAATAACACCATATGGTCAGCGATTCCAAGATCTACATTTGTGGGGTTAAAAACTCTAAAATTAGGGGTAAATATGGCTATTGCACCGTTCAGTATGAGTCATGTAGCAAAATTAATGATCTTAAAACATTGTGATATTGAACCAAGTTATAACTGTCTGTCATGCTTCAAAAAACTAGATACACGTAGGATTCGTGTAGTCCAACGAAAGCATCTTAAAATCCCTAAAAAAGGCAAAATTGTTAAAAACAATGAAAAAAGGAAAATTAGAAGAGTCTTTTGTATAAGCAGAGAGTTAAAAGAAGACTTCATATGCTTCTGGGAAGTACTAAACAAAGTAAACGCCCAAAAATTTACAATTTTTTCTTTAAAACCTGTTTTTTCAAAATGTAATATCTTTCACGTTATGTACCTTTTTCTCAAAATCTACTTAACATATAATCCTCAAGTTTTCATAGAACATACTTTTAACATGTTTACACATTTAATGGAGGGAATTAGATATATTTAGTAATCTTCTTCAGATATGACTCTTTTAAACTAAATTTTAGAGCAAAAAAAATTGTACAATTTCTAAAAAATTCATAATTAATTTAACTTTTAATAAAATGACAAACCCTTTTGTTAAAGTGTTATTGATAGTACACATAACCTACTGTAAAAAATTTATTCATAAGAAGTAAGTGTTTCTGAGAAAAAAGTACACAAACTTATGCAATTTAACATGGGATCCTATGGACGTGCCGGACTCCCTTAAGAGCGTTTTTTAGAGCTCTTCCTCAGAGTAATATCAATCGATGAACAAGCAAAAGTAACACGTGTTTCGAGGAACACAAAATTATAACCACCAGCTACCACACTGAAAGACACAACTGAACTACTAATGCACTAAAACCAATCAAAGGGATAAATTATATTCAGTGTCGATCCATCACATCACATCTGGGCAGGTATGACTGGTTTGAGGTGGTTCGGGACATAACTGGTAATCACATATCAACTCAGTCAAGAAAAAAATGTTTGTTCCAATTAACTTGAACAGTATAGTACTCCTATTCTTTAACATTAAGCAAAGACAGCCTTAACCCATTCTTTTTCTTCTATCATGTAACCTCTTTCTTAGACTTTCTTGCGCTTATGAGCTGTAATCACTATTATGTATTATGTGCATCGTAACTGTTGTATGTTTGTGTACTACATCAATGCTTGGTTTGATTAAGATCTGCCCCGAACTGAATTTACCAAAAGTGAAAACTCTCTTAATTTTGAAACGTGGAAGAAAGAAAAAAAGAGGGTAAAAATATCATTTTTAATTTAAAAATTCACTTTTGGGGGGGAGGGAATCCTATACTAGCCAAATGTTTTGAAAAATATTTCATGTTTTGCATGAAAAACAAGTAACATAAAAAAAAATAAAGACAATTCCTACTTAGGTCAACAAAGAAAATTTTTATTTCAGTTACTTTTTATTAAATAGTTACAATTAATATAAATATGTATATATGTCGTAGTTTCCCACTACCCCTTTGCATATTATCTATGTTAGGATATGTAGTATTCATCATTAAAGACTACTCAAATAATAAATCACTTATTTATTATTTCTTTAAGACACAATTATACAATTAATAATCAACTTTAAGAACAATAAATTATCATGGAGTATTATCAGCATTCAATTATGGACGACGGAATACTAACTGATATCACGAGGGGAAATAACACGTACAATCAAACTACACATTTAAATTTAAGCCACAAAAGTTACAGACCTGAAATCTTCTTCAGTAGGAACCTGGAACAAGTAGAATTTATAAAGTGGCTGTAATCTAGGATATCTTCAATAACTTCTGATCCGCCTTAAATAATCTTCAAATTTCACTTTATTAAGCTAGACGGATAAAAACACCTTCTTGGACAACGACGTAATTTACTTTATAATCTCAAACACGGAGTTCTACTCTATCAAACCGCTTAGTCATCCTCTTCTTCATTTCATTTCTCCCTTTTATATCTCTTTCGAACTCGCTAAACACGAAACTATCTTATTTGCATAAGTCACACTTCCAGCTCTCAGTGGGGATTGGTCAAAATAAATACAATTTAAAAGTTTATCAGAGAAGGTTAGTGAAACGCGTAAGCACCCGTCACATATACGTATGACAGAATCACACCAATAAATGACAAAATAGAAAGCGATTTTCTATTTTCCTTTCTATATAGGGTGTTTTTATTCATTCACTAAACTTAATTATTCTAATAAAATAGTATAGTAAAAAAGAAATAACATTTTCAGAAATTAGGTCGTCCCAGGTGGGATTTGAACCCACGAACTTTGGATTGGAAGTCCAATGTGTTATCCATTGCGCTACAGGAACATAATGATTGATTTTCCTTTCTATATATGCTGTTGGACTATTATTTTTGTTTCTTACTATTTATTCATTTCTTAATTTAATTAATGAATCTGTGTTTGAAAAAACTGTATTAACATCCATTGTCATCTTCTACAAGTATAAAAAAATTATTTGAACTTGAATGGATGAATAGAAAGTATTTTTTTTAACGACTGAAGATTATTTGTACAATATATATATATATATAGGGAGTGGGAATTAATAGTAGAAATTGAAGAAAAAGTATCATTTTCTTCAGGATCTCTTTTATGTATATATATTATTTTTTTTAAATACAAAGTTATAGAAATATTAATCAATCTATTTTCTGTTTGAATATCATGTTAGATTTTCAAAAAAAAACAGCAAAAAAAAAATTCTTGGGAACATTAGGACAAGTAATTAAACGTTCTGAGAAAAAATCGCTCTGATGCTTTGGATTGAAAATTAGCGGGAAATCCTTTATGTATATATTCTTTTTACACGGCAACATTAGATTCTTTGAATTGCTCTCAATATTTTTTTTTTTTTTGAAGAATGAGGATTTTCTTCCTCAAGAATGAAACCGCAATGTTTCAAAGACTATTACAATTTTACTCTCTTTTGGATCATCTATTGTTGAAAATAATTGGAACCCGATACTCCACATCGTCGGCCGCGAGTTCGCAAAATCATGATGATTACTTTACCATGTCCAACTTGGTTTGTTGGAACGCCAGAAAATAACATGCATGTGTTATATCACAAGTTATGATTTGTTATCAGTACTGTAGTGTCTGATCTCTTAAAATTATTTCATACTTGGTAGCGTGAGGGATAACACAGCTATTAGCCCAAAGGGATTTTATTCCAAATTAATTACACACAACATTTTAAATTCAATTGCAAACTTTGGCTCTTTACAGCCTTTTGCTAGTGAAAAGTTCTAGTCCCGTGTAAGGCTGAAAAATCTTACAGTGATTGGTTCTCGGGTGCGGCTGTCCCCCTGCCCTTTTCGCTAGTATGGTCAAAGGTCAGTTCATTCAAGACGTTGCACCACCGACTCAGCACTCTGTCTTTCAAAGGTCATTGATGTTCATCTCCCTTGGTCCTTCAGGTGCGGCTACCCCCATGACCTCCATCTAGTATCTTCGAAGAAGAAAAAAACTGATCCGGAAGGAGATGTGAAGGAGAGAATGAGGGGGTTGAGAAGGTCCTCGTCAACTTGCGAGACGACCCTTTAAACCCTCAGGGCTGACCACTTTCACGCCCCAATCATATCTGATTGGCGAGCGTAGCAGATCTGCACATGGTCCTCCTCACCTTCGCCCCGACTCCATTGGTGCTCGGAGACAATGGGCTGGTGCGTCTGAAACCAAATTCGGTGCCATACCTAGTTTACCATCTGGAGAATTATAGATTGCCCTGTCACTTTGACAATGAGGGTATATCTTTACCATGACATGGCGACATTCCTGTTCATTCAAGTAGTTCGCGGTCCACATGTGCGAGGGTGACCCAACAAAGGATACTGCTCAGAAGGGCGTCCTTTCGATAAATAGCTGAGGCTCAAATTATCTGTGTGTCGGAGAAAGAAAAGGTGTGGTAGCATCAAAGCCATTTTTAGAATAAACTCACATCTGTTTTTCTCCAGCCATGAGCGAAGAATACCGGGTCTTTTTTTGGAAGATACAATGACCCATCCAGGCCTCCCGGTCACCCTGTTCATCAAATTTGACAAGTATTGATAGGGAGTGTTCTAGTAATGAGCCGACGTCACTGTACGCTACTCGCCAAACGCCTTTTTGGCGTGATTTTGAAATTGCGCCAAATAGGATTTTGGTACCAAATAGTTTACAATCGAAGCTGGTGGCCTGGAATTAAGAACTCAAAACGAAAATAATTTAAGAGAATGGCTAATTCCTGAGGAAAGAGGATATACATTAATTTTAAAAGAAGGGAAAAGGATAAAAATTAAGAAAAATGTAGTTACTTCACTTGTGAAAACCAAATAAAAAATACGAGTATCAGGATTTAAAGCAATTGAAAACGAGATATTTAGAAATGCCAGCGAAAACAGAAGGAAAAATATACATGCCAGAAAACTGGAAAAATTATAATAATAACTGTTAAAAAATATATAAAAATTTCAAGCGAAAAAAATATTACTAACAGGAAGTAAAAAGATTGGTGGTGGAATGTTAAGAAAGGATATGAATTCAATTCCTTGAAAGTATTAACTATATTCGAGAAATTCGAATATATATATATATATATACACACTTCCAGAAGTTAAGCACGGAGAGGAAAATGCTAATTTCTGGAAGCCAATCAGAATTGAAGAGGATGCAATTCACTACAGAGGTAGATGGAAGTATGCAAATATGTTAGGTAACAGCCAATCGTGCTTTCATGTCAAGAAATATGCAAAATGGGCAGTCTTATAAGAAGCCAGCTTTATGAAGGGTTACAGAAGTTGATTGTAAGTGATGATAGAAGGTGTTTAAAACTTTCGTACAATTTGTTTTCAAGACATACGTGTTTCTATGACTTCCAGAAAACGAATGGAAGATTCTGAGCGCTGGCGTGCTGTGCGGCACATTGAAGCAGGACAGTCGCTCATTTCTTCGGCGTTCATCATTCTGTAATTTCACGTTTATGGAAATAATTCCAAACCACACAGGCAGTTGTCCGAAGGCCCATAGGTGGTCGCCCAAAGGTTACAACCCCCGAGGAAGATCGATATATTGCTATTGTAGCCAAGCAGTATTGCAGAGCGACCTCCACACGTGTGACATTTATAGTTACAGCGTCCATTGGTAAGGCTATATCTGCAGCTACTGTACGCCGAAGATTACATATGAATGGACTGTATGCCCGGGTACCTCGAGTTTGTGTTCCTCTATCCGTCCAATCAAGAAGGGCACGATTAAAGTGGTGCCGGGAATATGGCAATTTGACTGTGTCTGACTGAGGCAATGTCATGTTTTCTGATGAATCAAGATTTGCTCTGGAGCCAGTTGACAAGCGTATAAGGATATGTCGTAAACAAGGAATACGCAATCAGCCCCAAAACATCACCGAACATCACGCATTCCGAGGCGGAAGCATTATGGTGTGGGCAGGGATTTGATACCGCACCGACCTGCACATCTTCAAACGGGGTTCTGTGACGGCTTTCCGGTATCGATATGAAGTCCTAGAACTCATTGTGAAATTGTATGCTGCAGCCTAATCCCATTGAAAATCTTTGGGATGCTCTCGGCCGTGCTGTATCTTCACGTTTCCCACCTCCAGCCACTCTTATTGAGCTGGAAACTGCTCTGCAAGAAGAATGGCGATTGTTTAATTTTGCGGTGGTTGACCACCTAATTGAAAGCATGGTCAGAAGGTGTAAACTTTGCATACAGACGAGGGGGATCCCATACCCTATTAATGTCCTTTTTTTCATTTCATGCTGTTTATTTACACTTTTTACATAATTCTGTTTAAGTCTCCAGTATGACATTATCTGATAACTTACAAAAATTTAATCTTGTTTTCATTTCTGTATATAATTATTGATTTTGTTTTATGTATAAATATATCTGCTACTTTACTGCCAAATTTTGTATCAATCAAAGTAGTATTTGTTGATTTTTTTGCATTTTACATCTTCGTGCTTAACTTTTGGAAGTGAGTGTATAATGAAAATAACTCGAAAAATTTTTAATCTATCCAGAAATTTCGAGTTTCGTTAATGAAATTCATCGAACAAGGAACGTTTTAAAAAGCATTAATTGTAAATAAAATTGAAATAAAATAAAGTGGAAATTCGTAATTTGTGTGCTGCCAGATAAAAATAATTATTTCTGAGATTTACTTTGTGGCCATACAAATTTGCACCATAAGATCCGTAAAAAAATTTACGGCCGTCAAATGTCTTATTCTGTAAATATTTTCATTTCAGGGCGCACTAAATAAGCCAAATCTTAAACAAGAATGCGGATTTAAAAAAGCAGAACTATTAGAAAACAAAGTAGGCAGAAAGTCTTTTTTTTCCCATAAAAATTAAAATCGGAACCCTAGTATTCTTTAAAAAAAGAGATCCTAGTACTCTCCAATAAAGTTCAATCTAACCATATTCGAATAAATGACAAAAGACAAAAGCTGCAATCTAGACAACGCAAAGTATGGAAAAGTTGAAATTTGGGAAAAAATAAAAATAAAAATCGTCTGTGAAATTAATAGGTATACCACTATAAATATAAACGCATAAAAATTAATTTTCATTTTCTATAATAATAGTAAAACATAATAATAAATAACAAATAATGAAAAAGAAAACTACAAAAAAGAATAAAACTACAATAATAATAATAATAATAAATAAATAAATAAATAAAACAAGGGAACTAGTTTGATACACAAGGCGCCAAACGCTGCTTGGCGCGATAAAGAATCACGCCAAGCAACGCATGTCGTTGGAAAGAAATCCAAGATGGTGGCCTAGCGATAAGACTCGCCAGGAAAATTATTTTAAAGAACTGTTTTGAAATACATTAAAATCTATTTCAAATGAAGAATATAGGAAGAGATTGTCACTAACCAAAATCAATAAATAATGAAAATCAATATAATAAAAAAAAATCATTTTTGCTAATAGTAATATTATGCAGTATACAATAATCTTATAATATAACTTCATAGTAATTATTATATATAATATTCATATAATATTGTATAGTAATAATTATTATATATTCCTATAGAATTATTTAATAATAATTATAAATAAATAACATAATAATAATAAACAAATAACATGATACTTATAAATACACTCATGTCCATAAATTAAGGATAATTCAGAATCACACAGATATTGAACTCTAAAATAAAAATTTCACTTGTAGAATTATCGCACATTCTTGAAGAAGAATATGCAAATTACAGGAAACCACCAGATGGCGTGGATAATACGTCACAATGACGAGAGTGAAAGAGAGGGGTATATAAGGAAT